GGCTGATCTTATTCTTGAAATAAGAATTATCAGGACCCATGATGGAATTGTCTTGTCACAATCTCATTATGTAGAGAAAGTTCTCAAGAAATTTGATGTCTATGATGGTACACGGTCTAGGCGTATGTGTAAGACACCCCTTGATCTTAGTATAAATCTGGTAGCCAATAAAGGTCAACCAGTGGCTCAGTTGGAATATTCACGTACAATAGGGAGTCTGATGTACTTGACGAATTGTACACGACCAGACTTGCCCTATCTGGTGAATAAGTTGAGCGGATTCACGAGCAATCCAAGTCATGAGCACTGGAATGCTTTGAGAAGGATACTTAAGTACTTAAGGTACACCCTTGAATACGGGCTAAAATACTCGAGATATCCAGCTGTACTTGAAGGGTATTGTGATGCAAGCTGGTTATCAGAATCGAGGGATTCTCACTCCACTAGCGGATATGTTTTCTGTATTGGAGGAGGAGCTGTTTTGTGGAAATCCACAAAACAAATGTGTATAGCTCGTTCAACGATAGAATCGGAGTTCATCGCTTTAGATAAAGCTGGTGAAGAAGCCGAGTGGCTTAGAATTTTCTTATCCGATATTCCATGTTGTAATAAGACTTTTCCGCCTGTGATGATTCACTGTGATAGCCAAACTGCTATAGGTAGGGCGCAAAGCAACTTGTATAACGGTAAGTCTAGACGTATTCGTCGTAGACATAATACCGTACGCCAATTGATCACAAATGGTGTCATTTCCATTGACTATGTGAAGTCTAAGGAAAATTTGGCTAATCCTTTGACGAAAGGATTGAATAGAGATCAATTGGTAGTATTGCTAGAGGAAATGGGCTTAAAAATTCACAATGTAAAGAATGATCATAGTGGTAACCCTACCATGATGAGTAGAGATCCTACGAACTTGGTTCAAAGGGAAAACTTTTTTTTTTTTTCCCGAAACGACAGGCGTAAATATTATAAAACTCAAAGCGAACAAAGTTCGAATACAACCGGAAAATACAACCAACAGAGAAAACATGGGAGACACGTCACAGACGGTCTAGAGCCTCGACTAGAATAAAACCTCAAACACCATCTAGAAAAGAAAGAAAGTAACTCCACCACTGCTTAAAAAGCCTAGCAACAAGTTACAATCTCTAACCAAACCAAAGAGCCAAACCAGCAAAGAGTCAAAACAGAACAACAAAGAGCCAAAAGAAAGGAAAAGAAGAACTAGTTAGCAGCTTTAAATTGCAGCCAATTTGAAAGAGCCATTCTGACCAACACTTGATGTGGTATGAAAGTCTTTTGGAATATCCATAAGTTCCTGGACTTCCAAAGCCACCAAAGCATATATGTAGAGAGTTGGATTCTTGCTTCGGCCACTTCAGAATGATCCAGAGAGCAGATTCTGTACCACCATTCATTGAAAGAGACATCTCTTCTGTTTAAGTCATTCCACTGAATTAGACTAAGTTTCCAGACATTCAAAGCTCTAGGGCAAGAGACAAAAAGATGCTGCAGATTTTCTTGAGCTTCACCACAGAGTGTACAAGTGATGTCAATGTGCAGTCCCCTTTTCCAGAGATTAGAGGCAACAGGAAGAGTGCCACTGAGACATTTCCACATAAAGAACTTCAGCTGCCAGAGTCTCAGTTTAGCAGATTTCTTTATGTTAGCAGCCCAACTGCTTTCTGGAAAATCAGCCTGCATAAGTTTTTGGTGAGAGAGGTGCTTATATGTGTTGGACACTGAAAAGACACCCTTTTTATCCAAGCCCCAATAGTATCTATCATTTCTGTCAGGATGTAATGTGCCTATGTCTAGAATAGCTTTGCTATCAACTTCATCAAAAACCTGATGGACAAGCCAGGTATTCCATTGAGAGCCATTGGACTGCAGCAACTCCCTGACCCATATTAAATGACCCCTGGCAATAGGTATTAAGGTAGGGGAAGGCTTCTGCAGCTTTGGAACCCAATTGTGATCATCAATTCTAGTATTTAGCTCATTTCTAATCTCAATTTTAAACTACTTAGCAAACATTGGCAGGACATCCATCCAACTGTTCCACATCCAGGAACCACCATTGATTTTTATTGCATTAACAATGGAAGAGTTGGGAAAGTACTTGTCTTTGAGCACTTTGCTGACCAGGAGGTCTGGATTTGAGGCAACTCTCCACAATTGCTTGCAAATAAGAGCTTTGTTAAACAGAAGAAGATCAAGAAACCCAAGGCCACCTGATTGTTTTGGGAGTGTGAGAAAACTCCATTTTTTCCAAAAAAATACCCTCGCTAGCTTCAAAGTTTGATTTCCACCAGAAGTGAGCACAAAGTTTGGCAAATTCAGCACATAGAGTGGCTGGCAGCTTGAAACAAGACATTGAGAATATAGGTAAAGCCTGGATAATAGCTTTTAAGAGGACAGCTTTTCCAGCAGAACTGAGAAGCTTACCTTGCCACCCTGAGAGCTTTTTCCTAACAGCCTGGAGTAGATAGTCAAAGACTTCTCTCTTGTTCTTGCCAATGCCTAAAGGGAGGCCAAGATACCGAGTTGATCTCTAGGCAACAATGCCATTTAGAGTGGAGCAGATGGTAGATTGAAGGGTCTGAGGAGTGTTCTTGCTAAAAAAGATGACTTGATTTGTTTAAGTTGACTGCTTGGCCTGTGAAGAGCCTGTACTGTTCAAGGATACTCATAAGGATGCTAGCTTGGTCATTTCCAGCCTTGCAGAAAAAGAGTGAATCATCTGCAAATAAGAGATGAGAAAGCAAGGGGCCATTTCTGGAGATTTTCATCCCTTTGAGCAGTCCATTGTTGATAGGGTTTAGGATCAAAGCAGATAAAAGCTCAGCAACAATAATGAAAAGGTAAGGGGATAAGGGATCCCTTGCCTAATACCTCTAGAAGGAGCCACATAGCCACTGAGAGAACCATTGATTTTAAAGGAGAAAGTAGCAGAAGAGACACAAATCATGATCAGCTTCACAAAATCCATATGGAAACCCATTTGCAACATGATCTTCTTCAAACATAACCATTCCACACGATCAAAAGCTTTTATTAAATCCAGCTTCAAAGCCATGAAAAAATTAGGGCCAGAGGAGTGCCTATTTAGAAAATGAAAGGCTTCTTGGGCAATGATCACATTATCAACAACTTGTCTACCCTCTACAAAGGCAGCTTGATATGAACTGATGCAGCTAGACAAGCAATTCTTAAGTCTTAGAGCCAGAATCTTAGATATTATTTTGTAAATCACACTGCATAAACTTATAGGTCTAAACTGCCCCAATGAATCATGATTTGAACATTTTGGAATAAGAGAGATCACTGTATGATTCCAGTATTTGAGGATTTTACCTGAGCTGAAAAAGCTTGCCACTGCTACTAGAATGTCTTGCTTAATAAGAGGCCAGAAATGCTGCTAGAAGGCTGCAGTCATCCCATCTTCTCCTGGAGATTTGTCTGGATGTAGACTGAATAAAGAGTTCTTGACCTCCTCTTCTTCAACAGGTTTGAGCAAGTCTTGGTTCATGTCAGTAGTGATAGAAGTGGGGATGAGAGGAAGAATGGATTCCCCACCCCAACAACCCTCTGAGGAGAACAAGTTTGAGTAAAGCTCCTCAATATGCTTCTCAATTTCCTTTTGAGTGATGAAAATGTGGCCTTGTTGAGAAACCAGCCTGGTGATAGCATTGTATCTCCTTTTTTGCATTGTAAGAGCGTGGAAGAACCTAGTGTTTGCATCTCCATCCTTCAACCATTTAGATTTAGCCTTTTGCTGCCAGTACAATTCTTCTTGCCTGTGAGCCTGGTTCAGAGATCTTCTGGTTGACTCCCATTCCTCCCAATTGATGGCTGCCTTATTCTGATTCAGAGACTCAAGCTTTGCATTGAGAGCAGCAATGGTTTTCTGACCTTCAGTGTGGAAAGAGGAGCTCCATTTTAGCAGGGCTAATCTGGTGATCTTAACTTTCTCTTTGAGCTGGAAAAAAGGAGTGCCATGAACCTCAGAAATCCAAGCTTGCTTGACTACCTCTTCACATCCCTCCCTAGTTAACCACCTCTTATCAAAGTGGAAGGTAGATCTTATCCTCTCTCTTGGCAGTCCCAGATTGAGAACGAGGGCAGAGTGGTCAGAGGCACTTTTAATAAGATTTGTGACAGTTGCATTTGGGTGCTGCTGGTTCCAGTCCATAGAGCCAAATGCTCTATCCAATTTTTCTTCCACTAAGTCAGGAATTGCTCTGTTGTTACTCCAGGTAAATGGAGGTCCTAACATTTTGATCTCCTCCATAGCCATTCCTTTGATAGAACTTGTGAACCCAGAGAAAGAATTGGGAGTTCTGAGGTTGCCTCCTAGTTTATCCCCACTTGAGAGAATGTCATTCCAGTCACCGATGGCAAACCAGTTGTTACCCCAGAAGTGTTTATCATTAAGCAGACTTTCCCATTGTTCAATTCTGAGGCTTCTAATGGGGTTGAGATAGACAAAAATTCCCCATTGAGGAGTAGAGGAGGATAACAAAAATTCTACAGCTATATAATACTCCTTGCATATTATTTGTTTAATAATCACCTGAGAATTCCAGAACAAAACCAGTCCACCACTGCAGCCCAAGGGATCCACTGTGATAAATCTGTCAGAAAAACCCAGTTTATTGCTAACTGTATTAATATAGGCTTTTGATTTCTTGGTTTCTGAAAGGAAGAGAAAAGATGGGTGATGAGTTCTCAGCAACTCTCTGATTTGGGAAATTGTAGAGGGCCCACCCAGCCCTCTACAATTCCACACCACAGCTAGCATTGACCACTTGGGTGCCATTCTAGGCTGGCAACCCCCACCTTTTCAGAGTCTTCTTGAGGTTTGTATATTGTGTCTTGCTTCAGAAGTTTAGCATCTTTGGATGAGGATGGAAGCTCACATTCTGCAGAGGTTCTCTTCAGGCCTGAGACATTGTCTATCACAATAGGTATGACAGGTTCCCTGAGCAATCTACCAGACTCGTTCCCCATTCTTTTCCATGTTTTTGCAGGGCCAGTGGGTTTCTTCTCCAGCTGAGTTATTTGAGGGGTAAGCTCAACAGTTTCAAATTCCATCAATGCTGATTTCTCCTTTTCTAAAGGCCTAGGTTCTACCAAAACTACATCTGGAGTAGGAGTATTGTTCTGAGTAGAGATAGATAAAGCAGTAGAAACCCTGACAGAGGAAGGAGAAGACTGAGGATCTACTGAAGCTTGCATTGAGTGAGAGGGGTTAACTTCATGGATGGGAATGATTTGGTTTGGGAGTGTTCTTTGTGTTCTTCTAAGCTCAGGGTCAGATGTGGGGGATGAAGGAGAGGAGCTCATATTTCTTGATTGGCTTCCTGCTTGCCATTTCTGCCATTCGGTAGCCTTGAGCCAATCGCCATATTGACCCTCTTTAAGAGTTTTGTTTTTAATATCTTGGATTCTAGCATGGTAAGTCCTGTCAAAGTGCCCTATTTTGCCACAGTAGTGGCACAGGTTCATAAGCTTTTCATACTTAAAGCCCACATTCACAATGTCATCACCACCTAACCGGATATGGGCTATTCTGGGAATAGGTTCGTCCAGATTCAGGGTGACAAGGAGCCTAAGCATCTTTCTTCCATGACTGCCGTTGTTCAATAACTACATTATTGACTTCCTATCTTCAGTTGAGCACTTGGAACATATAAATGTCCAGAGCTATTCCGTAGAGCACTCCAAGTGCAAGATGACTTGTTGATCGTGGAGAGGCTAAGTCATGTGGACTTTTACTGAATCCTTAACCGTGTAAAGGTGGAGTATTAACAGGATACTCTTGATAGGGAGGTCACCTATATAAGTGTGAAGTGAGGGCCGCTTCAAATGTAAGCACTTATGAATCCAAAGTGTTGTCCATGGCCAAAACAAACACAACAAAATAACGATATGGAGTTAAGACTCTATTGTGTAAATGTCATTGACTAGGTGTACACTATGGAGGAATAGTTCAAGGCATCATGTCCACTAGTCCGCCAGTGCATCCGATGGTGTTTACAAAGAAAGGTTCAAATCCAAAAGCTACCTTTTCTGATGCAATAGAGTTTTGTGAGGATTGAACACAATAATATATATTTAATTTACACTTATGTGGGGGATTGTTATATATGAGTGTAAATTGGATTAAATAAATGGGCGTGGGTCCCATTCATTTATAATTGTGTGCAGAGGATGTGCAAAGGAGTTAATTGTGTGCAGAGGCCTGACATATTGTCAGTGTATTATTACTGACAGCATAAATGCAGCTATTAAATGCTCCTTTTTCAACTATCAAATTGTATGCAAAAGTCGGATAGAGGATTCTGAGAATTGATATAATCGTCTATAAATAGAGGGGATTCTCACAAAGGGGAGAGAGAGAAAAACGAGAAAAAAGAAAAATATTCAGTTCAAGAAAATATTTGAGGGATCAAAATATTACTGATAAAATTAGAGAAAAAATTATCAAATAGATATTTTTATTCCTATTTCATAGTGCTCAATTCTCGACTCCGTTCTTGTTCGCCGGAGCTCGTAAATCTGGTGTGCTACAGATTTAGAGACGTTTGCCGTTGTATCTTTGGGGAAGTTACGCCTAAACCGTTAGCTGCCACACGGGGCGTATTCTTCTTGCAGAAAGAGTTTTACTCGCCTCGGCTTTGATTTTTCCGTGTTATTTTTAAGTTTTAATTTATTTTGAGTTGTAATTTATTTTTCAGTTCAATTGTAATTTTCTATTTTTAGATTATTTGTAAGAACTGAAAAATTACATATCAGTTCGTAGGATTCCCGTGTATTTTTATATTCAATTTCAAACACTCTTATTCAAATTTCATCTCCAGTCTTTTGTATTACATTTACTCTACATTAAATATATTATATTTTTATTTATTATTATTTCACTTAAATCGTAATATATATGTATATTTAATCTTATACTGTATAAATTTTTGTTAGAGAGGCCTCATTTTACTCTACGGTTGTACGTACTACGTAATGCAATTTTAGAATTAGTTGGTATTGACTAATGAATTATACTAGCACATTTATAATGTACTGAACATACCACGGAGGATAAGTTTATTTTATATTAACTAAGTAAATATAGTAGACCATAGTTATTGCTCCTATATTAAATTCATAAGATAATAAATGGGCATATGTATTTAATATTATTACTTTGATTCACCAAAAAGTAAGATTTATTTATTGTTTCAATAGACCTGGTGATTGGGTAATGATATTATTTATATGATGTGTCATTAAAACTAGAGAAAATTATCTGGTGGACGAGGCATAATAAATTTTTCTCCTTAAATACGAGATAACTTTTTTTATTTACAAACTAATCTTTTCCGTTCCACTAGAATGTGAATTTTATTTTCTTAATCCCCTTCGGACATATTCTTCATCTTTCCCATCGCAATAGATTTATTCAATTTCTCTTCTCTCTTCCTTTTTTACTTCACATAACACACGCACACACCAACACTTCTTGTTCTCTCTTCTTCTTAGATCGGCCGATTGAGAATGGCGAGCACCGGAGAGAGGTAAAACAACCAAGCTTGGCGGAATGGGTTCGTCGAGTACAGATTCACGGCGATCAGTTAATTTTGAGGGGCGTAATCTAAGTGGTGAAAAACGCCGGAGGGAGGCGATTTCGATGGCTCCGATTTTGGCGTTTTCCAACAGCGGTGCAAGGGACAGAGGTAGATCTAAAGTATATAAAAGCTCTATGTTATAATTAGGGTTGCTCACATTATTGCTGACGAAATGTTTGGGTGTTAGGGTTCGAAATTTTCATTGTGCAAATGAAATTGATTTTGGTTTTGGTTTTCATTGCGGATATTGTTTGAAATTTTGCTGTGTTTTCCTTTGATTTTTGAAACGACTTTGAATTTTTCGCTCATGAATGAAATTCTCGTCGGATCCCGACACTAATGGGTTCATTGCATAAAATTGTTGATGGAATGCGTATTGGGATGGTGTTCGACGATTTGCCGAAATCACAATGCTTGTTGGTGTACCGCCCTTTCGGATCTCACCTGCTGGCATTACATTTTTAATATGTTGTGCATATATCTGATGTAAACTCGGTTGAAAGATGATTCAACATTCATTTTATGTTGGGTTTGTTTTTAGTAAATTTGATGTTTATCGATGCATTGTAGTTAATGATTTTTTTGTCTTATTTTTTATCTACGGTTGTTATGTTAATTTGATGTTTATCTATGGTTGTTAATTGGTTTTTTGTTTTTATATTATTTGTAGTTTATATTCAATTTTTATTTTTATTTTTTTGCATTGAATTATTTCGTTTCTTTAATTTTTGTGATTTAGTAAACAAATCAGATGATAAACTTAAGATAATCAAAAGTTTTAAATAAATTTTAGAGGTATGATAAACCTAAGATAAACGTAAGATAAACTTAAGATAATCAATATTTTTAAATAAATTTTAGAGGTATGATAAACTTAAGATAAACTTAAAACAATCAAAAAAAAATTATAGACAAAATTGGTGTCGAATTGATATAGAAAAGACACTGCAGATTGGAACTGGAATAATTTTAAAAATCTCGTCCTTTTGGAAAAGTTTTTTTAAGGAACTGTCGACACGTCCTTTAGCCTTAAAACTATTTACCGACATTGTGTCCCAGTGTGTCGGGTTGATGGCGTCCTTGAAATGAGCTCAAGACATTTATTATGTTAAACCCTGCAGGTGAATTAATTTCCAGCATAATGAAAAGGTTGATTGGTACTAATTTTAAAAACAAGAATTTAATTAATAATTGTCAATAGTTAAATTATTTAATGGATGTTATATATTAAACATGTGGAGATAAATAGAGTGAATAAATCTGGTGCCAAATTGTAATTTGGAGTTAAATAAGAAGTTGAATAATATTTCTTTAGTACAATGGAATATTATCCATTTAGAGTGGGTGTAGGTGGAACAGAACCTGATTTACCTAATTCTATGAGGAATATTTATTTAAAACCTCCTTAGGGTCTTTGTTGTAGCCTATAGATACACAAAGTTGTCTCATAAATGAAGTGGATTTTTTTGTTCTCTCAGTCAAGGAAAAACACTGTCTCAATATGAGTGAAGAGAGAAAAGTAGAGTTTGAGAAGTCTTAAAAAAGATAGAGAAAGACAGTGTCTTCTTCCTTCTTTTCCAAAACTCGATCAAGTGAGATCTAGAGAACAAGTTACATAGTTGTGGCCCACAATGATTTGGAACTAGTATCACGAATACAGTAGAAGACTTTAAGGTCACGAGGATACCCGTTCGTCCAATTCCGTAGACCGTGTAAGTCGTCTTAGAATCGTCAAATTTTAAATGGTACGTAAAAGTTGAATGAACTGTCGTGAACAATTGTAGTGTAATTTTAGAATCAGTTGGTCATGACTAATGAATTAAACTAATACATTTAGAATGGATTCCACGAACCACAGAGGATAAGTTTGATTCATACTAACCAAGTAAATAAACTACACCTCAGTTATTGAACGTACTCTTGATAACTAAGATAACAAATGGGCATATGTATTTAATATATATTACTTTTATTCATCAAAAAGTGAGATACATTGATTGGATTAATAGACTAGGCTATTGGATAATAATATTATTTACATGATGTGTCATTAAAATCATTTACGGATAATGTGTCCTGGTATCTCAAGTTGATGACGTTCTCGAAATGAGCTTAAGGCATTTATTATGCTAAACCCTGTAGGTGAATTAACTTGTGGCATAATGAAAAGGTTCAGTGGTACTAGTTTCAAAAACAAGAATGTAATTAATTAAACTATTAGCAGTTAAATTAATTAACAGATGATATATCTTAAACACAGGGAGATAAACTGAGTGAATAAATCTGGATTCAAATTTTAATTTGAGTTAAATATGTAGTTCAATAATATTCTTTTAGTAAAATGGAATATTATTCATGTGGATTGGGTGTATGTGGACCAGAACCTAAGTTACCTAATTCTATGGGGAGTCCTTATTTAACTCCACCGTAGAGTCCCTGCTGTAGTCTATAAATACACCAAGTTGTCTCATAAATGATGTGAATTTTTTGGTTCTCTCAGTCCAATAAAACACGTCTAAACATGTGAGTGAGGAGAACGAGAGCTTGAGAAGTTTTAGAAAAGAGAGAGAAATACAGTGTTTTTTTCCTCCCTTCCCAAAAATTGATTAAGTGAGA